TATATATATGACTATATATTTTATCATTCCATTGATGTCTTCTGTTTGACTGAAAAGGTGTTTATGTTTGTTATCTTTCTCCAGTATTCAAATTTTGGAGATGGTGATTACAAATAAATTTCAAAATGTGAAATGAAAGACCTTATGGCTGCTTCTTCTTTTTTAGTGATGGCTTGCTCAATAGCTCGAGCTATTCATGAATATGTTCTATATGTATTTATTTATTTACGATTTTTATACAGAGTGGCACATTTCACGAATTATGGTGGTCTTTCATTAATAATAATAATAATATTTAATTTTTATATAGCGCTTAATACAAATGTCTCTAAGCGCTTTACAAATATACTATTACCCCGGTCATTGGATTCAGTGCTATTCAATAACCATCATCAGTGAGATTAGATAACAGCAACAAAATAATATAGAGAAATAAATACACACATAAATATATACAAGTATACAAATTAATAGGTAGCCTCATGAAAAGCGGAGTATTCAAGAAATACAGTTGCACATTTTAATATCTTATTGTATGTACAGACAGTAATAGTTGTAAATCAGATGCTTGATAGTCATGAGATTTTCAGACATTCTTACGAACAAACAAAAAATATAAATAAATCAACGAGAGAAGATAGCCTCTTATCGATTTAACAGATCATAAGCAACGACAAAAATGTACATGTTTATCATATGATATAGCCTAACACACGGGAGATCAAAGTTGCTATGTATTTATTTACATTGGATATATTTAACGATAATTATTGCTTTTCAAGTAATACACTTTGATTGTTTACAAGGTAGCTGAATATTTGAATATGTGCACGCTTTATTATAAAGGAAAGCACCAACAATTGGCAAGGACTGATGCAGCTCATTTAGTTCAAAAGTTTCATGTCAACCTATGTTAACTAAAATGTATATATTTTGCAAGTTAACACAATAATTCACTTACAGGTAGTTCTGCTGCAATTATAATACTGTTATATTCAATATATTATGGCAGAAAGATGACCAGTATCTGGTTAATTGGTTTAGTTAAATCAACATTTAAAAAACAAAAAAAACAAGAAGTGATTTATCAAGTAAACATACATTACTGTATTTTATATTTGCAAGTAGAAGACTATTGACAGTGAGAGGATGTATATTGAGAATTTGAACTGTTCTATAAAGAATTGTACTGGAATTAGTGCAGATTTATATACATATTATGGATTGATATTTCAAATTGCTACTGTACTACCCATGAGCCCCTTTTCCTCCAGCCTGGCCCCTATTACTACCCCTCTCCATCTCCTGCCCCTCTTACCTCCCCTTTTAGGGAGTCTATATGGACTAGCACAACTTTCAGAATCATATTCCAACTAAATTTGGGGACTCAGTCTCACCTCTCTTGCCCAAGTGGCCCGTGCGAAGTCTCGAGTTGTTGAGGAGAAAGGGCATACGAGCAGAGCAGGTTGACCAATACCTTTCATCACAACTTCATTGAGGAGAACTACAAATGATACTTCTATTAGAAGAAGTACATAAATAAATGATCTTGGCTGTCGAATGTCCGAAGAACACAAACATTTGAATGTTTGTAGTTATTGATGTAAGAAACAAGATGGTATTTTAAGTTTTTTTCCTAATATGCAAATTGTTATTGTTATAACCTAATTAATTATGCAAAATGCTAATTTTATGCATTTTACAGAAAACTCTTGTCTCTAGACTTGTAAAGAATCTTGAAAATGTATTGCATAAATGTTTCCTTCATTTCAAATTCAATCACAGAAAATGTGAAGGGGGTAGGGTGCCTCCCAGGCCCCCACCCCCCCCCCCCCCCTTCAGTACCGTAAGGGTTAAGGTTGATGGACCAAGAAGATATCGGCCGATGCATTATAGACCAGCATTGGTTCCAATTTCATAATTACCCAAATGGGCACTTTAAGCTTAAAGAGGCCATTATGATAACTGCATGCACAAAGTTACATTTAAAAGCTTTCGGTTGCGTTCTGTGTTACCTCTGAAGGATAGATTATATGTTACATTTCTGTGCCACCATTTTTTTTCTTCAATTTATTTAATAATTTGCAACAGTTATCATAATCTAACTCTCAAGAGCTGGATAATGGATTATTATGCTTATATGAGAACGAAATTTACAATGCTTTTACAGTACCTAGAGTTGACAAACATTATGTTTTCTTTTCAAGCTATATGAATTTCTGTACATGAAAGACCATCTTTATAATATTGTTCCTTTGCTAAGACAATCATATATTTTCATAAAAAACACAACATATATATATATATATATTATTAAACAAAATGCTGACTAAAGCTAGTATATCATGAATCATTAAACTCATGATGGCAAGGGAATAGTGTAGAAACACACATACCGGTACATACCTGTAAAGTTGATGCCTTTGCATATATTAGTGTAGAATGGAATTTAGTGTAGAATGGAACTCCTCCTTGAAAAGGTTTCCCCCTAGTATCGGTTCAGTCAGTTAAGCATCTACTAGGTGATGTGAAAAGGCTGATGTCAGACACATAACCTCCCGAAGTCAGAATGTTTGGACCTACATGTATACAGACAGTGATTCAGAAAGTCCATTACCAGAGTACATGTTTTAATTAAATAGCTGGGAATATAAGTGGGTGCTCTGATATACATGTATGTGTATGGCTATGCTTCTGGTGGACAGATATTCTGGACTTCGTTTAGTCAAATATATAGGATTTGAATACGAGCTGCACATAGGTTTGAGCTAAGAGGTTACATGTTAGGTTACATCTAGTTTTTGGTGCAGTGTTAACCATAAGAATTCAGTTAGTTCACCACCCCCCCCCTTCGAAAATGTGTTTAAATAAACATCTCCAGTTAGTCTACAACACAAAATCAAAATCCTTTATCTGAAATAAACCTTTGGTTTAATTCATCATATTTTCAACTCGAGCTATATGAATTCCGTATTATACACCTCACATGAAAACCCCTCTTTGTAATAATTTCCTTTGCCTGCTAAGACTATTGTATATATGTAAATATAATTCATTACACACATTGAACAAATATTTACTGTTCCTAGAATATCATAACTCCTTAAACTCCTGTCCACTGCTACATGTGTCTATTAATTCATCATTAAGAATGGATATCGAGAACAAACACACATACATACCTGTAAAGTTGACGCCTTTGCATTCAGTGTAGAATAGAACTCCTCCTGGAAATCCTTTCCATGTAATTTCAGTAGAGTCAGGTTTGGCATGGAACACAGAGCATCTACAATGTGGTGTGTAGAGGCTGATGTCGGAAAATTTACCTCCGAAAGCCAGAGAGTTTTGACCTACATGTATACAAACAGTGATTCATACAAGAGCATTACCAGCCAGAGAGAACATGTTTTAATTGAATGACTGCAAATATAACTGGGTGCTCCGATATACATGTATATCTATGGCTATGCTCAGGTGACAAAGGATCTGGGCTTCATTAAGTCAAATATATAGGATTTGGATACGAGCTGCACATAGGTTTGAGCTAAGAGTTCAAGTTCAAGTTCGTTTATTCATTTCACTTTCATACGAAATACAGCAATTGCAAATAAACAAACAAGTATATATATACATACAATGAATGTTCAGTTAATACAATAGTTTTAAATGTATGGCTATGCTTCTGGTGACATATATTTTGGCCTTCATTTAGTCAAACATATAGGATTTGGATACGAACTGCACATAGGTTTCAGCTAAGAGTGTTAGGGTTACATTTAGTTTTTGGTGCAGTGTTAACCATAGGAATTCAGTTAGTGCACTCCCTCCCGAAAAAACGTGTTTAATTTAACATCTCCCGTTAGTCTACAACAAAAATCAAAATCCCTTATCTGAAATAAACCTTTGGTTTAATTCATCATATTTTCAACTCAAGCTATATGAATTCTGTAATATACACTGCACATGAAAAACCCTCTTCATAATGATTTCCTTTGTCTGCTAAGACCATTGTAAATATTTAAATATAATTCATTACACACATTGAACATATATTGACTGTTGCTATAATATCATAACTCCTTAAACTCATCTCCACTGCTACATGTGTCCATTAATTCATCATGGAATGGGTATCGAGAACAAACACACATACATACCTGTAATGTTGAAGCCTTTGCACTCAGTGTAGAATAGAACTCCTCCTGGAAATTCTTTCCATGTACTTTCAGTAGATTCAGGTTTGGCATGGAACACAGAGCATCTACAACGTGGTGTGTAGAGGCTGATGTCGGAAAACTGACCTCCGAAAGATGGAGAGTTTGGACCTACATGTATACAAACAGTGATTCATACAAGAGCATTATTAGCCAGAGAGAACATGTTTTAATTGAATGATTGCAAATATGAATGGGTGCTCTGATATACATGTATATCTATGGCTATGCTCAGGGGACAAATGATCTTGGCTTCATTTAGTCAAATATATAGGATTTGGATACGAGCTGCACATACGTTTGAGCTAAGAGTGTTAGGGTCACATCTAGCTTTGGTGCAGTTTTAACCACTACAAATTCCGTTAGTGCAACCCCCTTCTGAAAACGTGTTTGATTAAACATCTCCAGTTAGTTTACAACATAAATTTAAATCCTTTATCTGAAAAAAGCCTTAGGTTTAATTCTTTTTTAGAGAACATATTTTCAACTCGAGCATTATGAATTCTGTAATATACACTTCACATGAAAAACCCTCTTTATAGTAATTTCCTTTGTCTGCTTAGACTATTGTATATATTTAAATATAATTCATTACACACATTTATTGACTGTTGCTAGAATATCATAACTCCTTAAACTCATCTCCACTGCTAGATGTGTCCATCAATTCATCATGGAATGGATATCGAGAACAAACACACATACATACCTGCAAGGTTGACGCCTTTGCATTCAGTGAAGAATAGAACTCCTCCTTGAAATCCTTTCCCTGTAGTGTCATTTCAATCAGGTTGGGCATGGAACACAGAGCATCTACGAAGTGATGTGTAGAGGTTGATGTCGGAAAAATTACATCCGAAAGCCAGATAGTTTTGACCTACATGTATACAAACAGTGATTCATACAAGATCATTACCAAAGAGAACGTGTTTTGATTGAATGACTGCAAATATAACTGGGTGCTCTGATATACATGTATATATATGGCTATGCTCAGGTGACAAATGATCTGGGCTTTATTTACCGGTAGTCAAATATATAGGATTCGGATAAGACCTACAAATAGGTTTTAGCTTAGATTTAGGGATAGGTTTACTTTTTGGTGCTGGATTAAAGTTAAGAATTTGGTTAGTGCAAAAAAGTAGGCACAAAAAAATGTTGAAAGGCCATGTATCGAACAACAGGGGGACCGACACTTACAGCTGTAGGACATTTCATGACTACATACTACATAGTGTTGCATTCAAGGAATATATCCTACCAGGTACCCACTTACTACACCCCTAGGTCGAATGTGGCAAATTAAGATTGATGTCTTGCCCAACAACATTGATGCTATGTACAGGAGGGATTTAAACCTCATACCTCATCGTTCACCTTCCAGAGACTTATCCACTGAACCACAAACACCTCTATATGAACCATGGTTGATGCCCATCATTTTAGGATATTATATTATTGATATGATTGATTTCAATAAAGGGAAGTGTATTTGTGTATAGATAATTAAAAACACAAAGAAGGAACTGTCGCTTTGTCAATTATTTGGACACATTTTTGATATTGCCTTAATGCTATGTAATACATTCATGATTAAAAGTATGCATTATACATGAATGTATACGTAGAGTGTGTGCATGTAGCTGTGCTTAAAAAAAGTACACTGTAATCAAGATCTCCATCCTTGTTCAGTAAGTATTGACTCTGAAGTATACCTTGATACTGCTTTTGAACTTAAAAATATACAAAATTACAAGGATATTATTTGTAGACAAATAAATACACTGTAATCGAGATCTCCATCCTTGTTCAGTAAGTATTGACTCTAAAGCAAACTTTGATACTGCTTTCAGACCCACGATGACCCAATTACAACCTTATGAATTGCTTTGAACTTAAAAATATACAAAATTACAAGCAAATTATTTGTAGACACTACTGTTTAGAGCACTTCAGTTATCTGTTAATACTGAATTCTATTACTGCATGAGTAGCAACACAACACTCTACTTCCCCCAAACATTCTTACTTAAACACATCCTGTTAGTCTCTATCAAAAATCAAAATCCCATTTCTGAGGCAAACATTTAAACATGTCTTTGTGTGCAGAACATCATATTTTCAATTCAAGCTCTATTAATTCTGTATTATGAATGGCGTATGAAAGACCATTTTTATAATAATTTCTTTTGACTACTAAGAAGACTATCATGAATTTTCATATAAATCCTTACAAGCATTGACAAATTATTGACTGTTGCTAAAATATCGTAACTCCTTAAACTCATCTCCACTGCTACATGTAAACATGAATACATCATAGCATGGATATTGAGGACAAACACACCTACATACCTGTAAGGTTGACGCCTTTGCATTCAGTGTAGAATAGAACTCCTCCAGGAAATCCTTTCCCTGTAGTCCCAGGTCCGTCAGGTTTTGCATGGAACACAAAGCATCTACTAGATGATGCAAAGAGGCTGATGTTGGACACCTAATGTCTACAAGCAAGAAATGTCCGACCTACATGTATATAAACAGTGAGTCATACACGTGCATTACAAGAGTACATGTTTTTAATTGAGTGACTGCAAATATAACTGGGTGCTCCGATATACATGTTTATCTATGGCTATGCTCAGGTGACAAATGATCTGGGCTTTATTTAGTCAAATATATAGGATTCGGAAAAGACCTGCAAAAAGTTTTTAGCTTAGATTTAGGGATAGGTTTACTTTTTGTTGCAGAATTAAAGTTAAGAATTTGGTTAGTGCAAAATAGTAAGCACAAACAAATGTTGAAGGGCCATGTAACGATTAACAGGGGGACCGACACTTACAGCCGTAGAACATTTCATGACTTTATACTACATAGTGTTGCATTCAAGGAATATATCCTACCAGGTACCCACTTACTACACCCCTAGGTCAAATGTGGCAAATGTAGATTGATGTCTTGCCAAACAACATTGGTGCTACGTACAGCAGGTATTTGAACCCCATACCTCAGGGTTCACCGTCCAGAGACTTACCCACTGAACCACAAACACCTCTATATGAACCATGGTTGATGCCCATAATTTTAGGATGTATATTATTAATATGATTGATTTAAATAAATAGAAGTGTATTTGTGTTTAGAGAATTAAAAACAGAAAGAAGGAATATCGCGTTGTCGATTATTTTGACACATTTTTGACATCGCCTAAATGCTATATAATACATTGATGATTACAAGTATGCATTATACATGAATTTATTCGTAGAGTGTGCGCATGTAGCTCGGATTAAAATAAGTACACTGTAATCAAGATCTCCATCCTTGTTCAGTAAGTATTGACACTGAAGTATACTTTGATACTGCTTTCAGACCAGTGATGACCCAATTACAACCTTATGAATTGTTTTGAACTTACAAATATACAAAACTACAAGCATATTATTTGTAGACAATTAAGTACACTGTAATCAAGATCTCTATCTTTGTTCAGTAAGTATTGATTCTGAAGTAAACTTTGATACTGCTTTCAGACCTACGATGACCCAATTACAACCTTATGAATTGCTCTGAACTAAAAATATACAAAATTACCAGCATGTTATTTGTAGACACTAATGTTTAGAGCACTTCAGTTATCTGTTAATACTGAATTATATAACTGCATGAGTAGCAACACAACACTCTACATCCCCCAAACATCTTTACTTAAACACATTCTGTTAGTCTCTATCAAAAATCTAAATCCCATTTCTGAGGCAACCATTTAAACATGTCTTTGTGTGCAGAACATCATATTGTCAATTCAAGCTCTATTAATTTTGTCTTATAAATTGCATATGAAAGACCATTTTTATAATAATTTCTTTTGACTACTAAGACTATCATGAATTTTCATATAAATCTTTACACACATTGAAATATTGACTGTTTGCTAAAATATCATAACTCCTTAAACTCATCTCCACTGCTACATGTGTACATGAATGCATCATAGCATAGATATTGAGTACAAACACACATACATACCTGAAAGGTTGACGCCTTTGCATTCAGTGTAGAATAGAACTCCTCCCCGAAATCCTTTCCCTGTAGTCCCAGGTGAGTCAGGTTTGGCATGGAACACAAAGCATTAACTAGATGCTGTAAAGAGGCTGATGTTGGACACCTAATGTCTACAAGCAAGACATATCCGACCTACATGTATATAAACAGTGAATCATACAAGTGCATTACAAGAGTACATCTTTTTAATTGAGTGACTGCTAATATAACTGGGTGCTCCGATATACATGTTTATCTATGGCTATATATGCTCAGGTGACAAATGATCTGGGCTTTATTTAGTCAAATATATAGGATTCGGAAAAGACCTGCAAAAAGTTTTTAGCTTAGATTTAGGGATAGGTTTACTTTTTGTTGCAGGATTAAAGTTAAGAATTTGGTTAGTTCAAAATAATAAGCACACAAAAAATGTTGAAGGGCCATGTAACGAACAACAGGGGGACCGACATTTACAGCCGTAGAACATTTCATGACTACATACTACATAGTGTTGCATTCAAGGAATATATCCTACCAGGTACCCACTTACTACACCCCTAGGTCAAATGTGGCAAATGTAGATTGATGTCTTGCCAAACAACATTGGTGCTACGTACAGCAGGAATTTGAACCCCATACCTCATGGTTCACCGTCCAGAGACTTATCCACTGAACCACAAACACTTCTATATGAACCATGGTTGATGCCCATAATTTTAGGATGTATATTATTAATATGATTGATTTAAATAAATAGAAGTGTATTTGTGTTTAGAGAATTAAAAACAGAAAAAAGGAACTATTGCATTTCGATTATTTTGACACATTTTTGACATCGCCTAAATGCTATATAATACATTCATGATTACAAGTATGCATTATACATGAATTTATACGTAGAGTGTGCGCATGTAGCCCGGATTAAAATAAGTACACTGTAATCAAGATCTCCATCCTTGTTCAGTGAGTATTGACACTGAAGTATACTTTGATACTGCTTTCAGACCAGTGATGACCCAATTACAACCTTATGAATTGTTTTGAACTTACAAATATACAAAATTACAAGCATATTATTTGTAGACAAATAAGTACACTGTAATCAAGATCTCCATCCTTGTTCAGTAAGTATTGACTCTAAAGCAAACTTTGATACTGCTTTCAGACCCACGATGACCCAATTACAACCTTATGAATTGCTCTGAACCAAAAATATACAAAATTACCAGCATGTTATTTGTAGACACTAATGTTTAGAGCACTTCAGTTATCTGTTAATACTGAATTCTATGAGTAGCAACACAACACTCTACATCCCCCAAACATTCTTACTTAAACACATTCTGTTAGTCTCTATCAAAAATCTAAATCCCATTTCTGAAGCAAACATTTAAACATGTCTTTGTGTGCAGAACATCATATTTTCAATTCAAGCTCTATTAATTCTGTCTTATAAATTGCATATGAAAGACCATTTTTATAATAATTTCTTTTGACTACTAAGAATATCATGAATTTTCATATAAATCTTTACACACATTGAAAAATTATCGACTGTTGCTAAAATATCATAACTCCTTACAATCATCTCCACTGCTACATGTGTACGTGAATTCATCATGGCATGGATATTGAGTTCAAAAACACATACATACCTGAAAGGTTGACGCCTTTGCATTCAGTGTAGAATAGAACTCCTCCTGGAAATCCTTTCCCTCTAGTATCAGAGCAGTCAGGTTTGGCATGGAACACAAAGCATCTACTAGGTGGTGAGACGAGGCTGATGTTGGACACCTAACATTTGCAAGCGCGGCGGTTTTGACCTACATGTATATAAACAGTGCGTCATACAAGTACATTACAAGAGTACATGTTTTAATTGAGTGACTGCAAATAAAACTGAGCGCTCAGATATACATGTTTATGTATGGCTATGCTCAGGTGACAAAACTGGGCATCATTTAATCAAATATATAGGATTTGGATAAGGCCTGCAAACAGGTTTTAGCTTAATTTTAGTGATATTTATACTTTTTGGTGCAAGATAAAAGTTAAGAATTTGGTTAGTGCAGAGTAGTAAGTACAGAATTGTTTTGACGTAGGACATTTGATGACTACATACTACATAGTGTTGCATTCAAGGAATATAATCCTACCAGGTAACCACTTACTACACCTAGGTCGAATGTGGCAAATGTAGATTGATGTCTTGCCAAACAACATTGGTGCTACATACAGCAGGGATTTGAACCCCATACCTCGTGGTTAACCGTCCAGAGACTTATCAACTGAACCACAAAGGCCTCTATATGAACCATGGTTGATGCCCATAATTTTAGGATGTATATTATTTATATGACTGATTTTAATAAATAGAGCTGTATGAGTGTTTGGAGAATTAAAAAAACAAAGAAGGAAATGTCGCTTCGTCGATTATTGGGACACAATTTTTTACATTGCCTAGATGCAATATAATACATTCATGACTAAAAGTATGCATTATACATGAATGTATATGTAGAGTGTGTGCATGTAGCTGTGCTTAAAAAAAAAGAGTACACTGTGATCAAGATCTCAACTCTTGGTCAGTGAGTATTGATTCTGAAGTATACTTTGAAACTGCTTTGAGACCCATGATGACCCAATTCCTACCTTATGAATTTCTCTGAACTTAAAAATATACAAAATTACAAGCAAATTATTTGTAGACACTAGTCTTTCAAGCACTTCAGTTAATTGTAAATACTGAATTCTATCACTACATGAGTAGCAGCTCAATACTCTACTTCCCCAAAACATTCTTACTTAAACACATCCTGTTAGTCTCCATCAAAAACCAAAATACCATTTCTGAGACAAACCTGAATTATTTTTTGCACGTCATTTTTTCAACTCAAGCTATATGAATTCTATATCATACACTGCACATGAAAGACCCTTTAAATGGAAATTTCCTTTGCCTGCTAAGACTATTATATATTTCCATATAAAACAATGCACACATTGAAGAAAAAATATTGACTGTTGCTAGAATATCATAACCCCTTTAACTCATCTCTACTGCTAGATGTGTCCATTATTGCATCATGGAATGGATATCGAGTACAAACACATATACATACCTTTAAAGTTGACGCTCTTGTATTCAGTGTAGAATAGAACTCCTCCTGGAAATCCTTTCCCTGTAGTACCAGTCTAGTCAGGTTTGGCATGAAACACAAAGCATCCAATAAATGATGCAAAGAGGCTGATGTTGGACTCCTAATACCCAAGAGCATGACAGTTTCGACCTACATGTATATAAACAGTGATTCATACGAGAACATTACCAGAGAACATGTTTCAATTGAAAGACTGCAAATATAGCTGGGTGCTCCTATATGCATGTGTGTTGGCAATACTCAGGTGACAAATTCTATGGGCTTTATTTAGTCAAATATATAGGATTTGGATAAGGGTTGTAAATAGGTTTGAGCTTAGGTATAGTGATAGATATACTTTTTGGTGCCGGATATAAGTTACGAATTTGATTAGTGCATAAATACAAGCACAGAAAAATGTTGCGAGGATGAATTCATCTCTGCCCTGGAGAGGTGCGTGGAGAAGATTCTAGCCAAGCGGCTACAGGCCAATGAAGACCGGCTTGATAGGCAGGAAGGTGAGCTCATGGAGTTGCGGAATCAGCTAGATAAGAAAGAGGCTGAAGTTCAGTCCCTTTCACTCTCGATGAATAAGCTGTCAGAGGAAGGGGATATGTTCAACATGCGGGCTAATGATCTTGAGCAGTACAGTAGGAGGCATTCTGTCTGCATATTTGGCGTTCCTGAGTCGAAGGGCGAGGTCACTGACCAACTTGTGATCAAGGCCGTGTCTAATCACCTTCCATGCGAAATTTCGCCTTCTGATATTGATCGGTCACAGCCTCGTCCTGATGCTAAGAAGCCCCGACCCATCCTCGTGAAATTCACTCAGTACAAGAAAAAGGCAGCCATGATGAACGATAGGAAACGTCTGAAGGGGTCTGGAATCTCGATCCAAGAGGACCTGACTCAGACGAATCACCAGATCCTGATGAAGCTTGTCAACCACCCCAAAGTTGAGGCTGCTTGGACCATCGACGGGAGGATCATGGCCGCCTTAAAAACCAGTGAGGGAATTTCTATGAAAAAGGCCTTCTCTTCCCTTCGACAAGTTTCAACCTTGTAATGAGTTGAAATGTTCTTAAATACCTGGTAACTCTCTATCAACCCCAGAGGTTTTGCACCGACTCTTTTTCTGAACATCTTTCTTGCTTGTAAGGTTTTCCTTCTTACATATTACACATGTATATATATCCATTGATCTTTTACTTTGTATTTAGTGTTGTGTGTGTGTTGATATGGGTGTTTATGTGTGTATGTGTGAAGGCTCCTCCTATACCATTTGATCTGTTCATTTGTTTGTTGTTTACTCACTGTCATGTCCTCCTCATGAACTTGAGATCTATTACCTTGTTATACTTGGTGGTTTCCCATCAAAGCCCAAATTTGTATGATTACAACGTTCAGGATTACCTTGATCATGTAGTCAGTGACTGCAAGTATATGGACGGTAGTGATTTTCAATGTAATAACTTAAGTAAAATATCCATTATGCATATGAATGCGAGAAGTCTTTTTAAGAATTATGAAGATTTTTTAGTTTTCTTGTCATGTTTAAAACGTATTTTTTCTGTGATTGGAATTTCAGAAACCTGGTTCAAGCAAACAACAAAAACGTGTATGTTTGACATTCCTGGATATTCTCTTTTACAATTTTGTAGATCTAATAAACGATGTGGTAGGGTATTATTGTACGTAAGGGATGGTATTGATTATAAGTTGCGTACTGATTTATCGGGTGAGCATGCTGGTTTTCAGTCTATTTTTGTAGAAATAGCCATTGATAATGTGAAATCCATTGTTGGTTGTGTATATAGAGCACCTGATAATGATATTGCTTCTTTCATTCATTCTTTTGATTATCATATGCAGGTTATTGGCCGGGAAAAGAAAGATGTCTATCTTTTGGGTGATTTTAATATTAATTTATCAAATTGTGATTCTGATGGCAGAGTAAAAGACTTTGTTAATTTCTTAACATCTTTTGGTTTATTTGCTTTGATTACTAAACCGACTCGTATTACTTCTACTACTTCAACATTGATAGATAATATTTTTACAAATTGTATTCAAGATGATTTTGATTGTGGAATTCTTTGTTCGGATTTGTCTGATCATATGCCCATTTTTAGTATTAATAAAGGGGAGTCTCTTTCAAATGAGAAGATAAATGATACAGTTTTTAGACGTGTGATTACAAATGAAAGAGTTCAGAGATTTAAGCAAGATCTTCTGACTGTTGATTGGTCTCTTCTTTATAGTCTGAATGATGTAGATGATAGTTATAATTATTTTTTAAGAATTTTTTGTAACTTGTATGAATTTCATTTTCCTCTTGTCCGGTCGAGTAGGAAAAAGAAATGTAAAAAACCTTGGATCACCCAAGGTCTTCTGAAATATATAAATCATAAAAATAAGCTTTATTGTAAATACACTAGGCATTAAAAATGAGGCGAATAGAAAGAAATATATAGACTATAAAAACGCCTTGACTAATTTAGTCCGTAATAATAAGAAAAGTTATTATGATGATGTCTTTAAAAGTACACAGAGGGTTATTCGGAAGACTTGGCTTCATATAAATGATTTACTTGGGAGGGGAAAAAAGGATCCAATACCAGATTAAATGTACCACGGGGAAATTCATTTAAAATCAAATTTAGATAAAGCTGAATATTTTAATAAGTATTTTATTAATTTGCCTGCAAGGATAAGTAGAGAAATTCCACCTGTGCAGACATTATTTGAAGATTATTTGTTGCCTTGGAAACTACAATTTGAGGTCGTTAATGGTGCCAAGTCTCAATCTAGCAATGCGAAGTATGGTGTACCTCAGGGATCTGTTCTTGGCCCATTGCTGTTTTTGATTTACATTAATGATATTATTAATTCGTCTCAATTATTTACATATTCTCATTTTGCTGACGATACATGTTATATTCTCACAAGAATGTACACTCTCTTATGCAGTCAGCTAATACTGAAATTTGTAGACTCTTTACGTGGTTTTGTTGTAACAAACTGTTATTGAATACTGGTAAAACTCAATGTGTAATATTTAGGTCTAGAGGGAGAAAAATCCCTGAAAATGTTCATCCCTTAGTTTTTGGTGGTCAACAGATCAATCGCAGTCAACATGTGCTATTTCTTGGTGTTACGGTTGATGAATATTTATCATGGAAAGAACATCTTGATAATTTATGTACTAAAGGGTCTCGCAGTGCTGGAGTAATATCCAAACTTCGTTATTTCCTCCCCCAGTACACCTTAATTACTTTATATAATGCTATTGTTATGCCTCATTTGATGTATTGTAATATTGCTTGGGGTCACACATTTAGGTATGTACATAAGTTGCAAGTACTTCAAAAAAATTTGTTAGGTATATAACAAATTCAGAATATAGTTCACCTAGTACTCCCTTGTTTTTGCAACTACATATTTTGCCTTTTGATGAATTGGTATCTCTTAATTGCTTAATATATATGTTTAAAAGTCAATCACTCCAGTATACATTTTTGAATAATGTGTTTGTGGAAAACTCTTCCATCCATCATTATCATACTCGTCAGAGTAACCTTGTCCATCAGTCGTACGCCAGGACCCATACTGCCTTAAAATCATTTAGAACTGTCTGTGTTAAAAAGTGGAATAAGTTACCCCATAATATAATTAGTAGAACTACATTGTCTCGGATTGAAATATCTTGTACAAAACACCTTTTCGACAGATTGCTATCAGATACATGAGTGTATAAAACAAGATGAGGTAGCCATGTATGAAGTGTACGTTATGTGTGTGTGCGTGTGTGTGTGTGTGTTTGTGTATGTGTTGTAATTGGGGGGTGGGGGGTATACTCATCTGCATAATTTGTTATGTTGTTACATTGTTACATACACACATACTCCTTGCCATTATATGCCATTATATACCTACTGTATAGTCTAGTGTGTAAAGGGGCCCCGTTCACAAGCTGTGCTTCACTGGGGTCCCAAATCTATCATTCTTGTGTTCCTTGCTGTTATATCTTGTACCATTTTTTATGTTTGATTTGGTTTGAATAAACTTGAACTTGAACTTGTGTCGAACAGCAGGGGGACCGACACTAACAGCCTTAGGACATTTGATGACTACATACTATATATTGTTGCATTCAAGGAATATATCCTACCAGGTACCCACTTACTACACCTAGTTCGAATGTGGCAAATGTAGATTGATGTCTTGCCAAACAATATTAGTGCTACGAATGGCAGGGATTTGAAACCCCATACCTCGTGGTTCACCGTCCAGAGACTTATCCACTGAACCACAAACACCTCTACATGAACCGTGGTTGATGCCGATCATTATAGAATGTATATTATTGATATGACTGATTAGTGTATTTGTGTTTGAAGAATTAAAAACACAAAGGAACTATCGCTTTGATAATTTGGACACATTTTTGACATTGCCTAAATGCTATATAATACATTCATGAATAAAAGTATGTATTATATAAAGTAATTGTATAATATGTAGAGTGTGTACATGTAGCTCTGCTTAAACTAAATATACTGTAATCAAGATCTCTATCCTTGTTCAGTAAGTATTGACTCTGAAGTATACTTTAATACTATTTTCAAACACATGATGTCCTAATTCCAACCTCATGTATTATTATAAACTTAAAAATACAAAATTACAAGCAATTTTTTTTGTAGACACTAGAATTTCAGTTATCTGTTAATACTGAATTCTATTATTGCATGAGTGGCAACACAATACTCTTCTTCCCCAAAACATTCTTACTTAAACACATCCCGTTAGTCTCCATCAAAGACCTAAATCCCATATCTGAAGCAAACATCTCAAAAAGTTGTGTGCAGAACATCATATTTCAATTAAACCTATATGAATTCTGTATTATAAACTTCATATGAAAGACCATTTTTATAATAATTTCTTGTGCCTACTAATTAGACTATCATGGATTTTCATATAAATCCTTACACAAATTGAATAAATATTGACTGTTGCTAAAGTATCATAACTCCTTAAACTCATCTTCACTGCTATATGTGTACATGAATGCATCAAAGCATGGATATTGAGTACAAACACACTAACATACCTGTAAGGTTGACGCCTTTGCATTCAGTGTAGAATAGAACTCCTCCCGGAAATCCTTTCCATGTAGTTCCAGGCCAGTCAGGTTTGGCATGGAACACAAAGCATATACTAGGTAATGTGAAGAAGCTGATGTTGGACATCTAATGTCTACAAGCAGGACACGTCCGACCTACATGTATATAAACTATGAGTCATACAAGTACATTACAAGAGTACATGTTTTAATTGAGTGACTGCAAATATAACTGGGTGCTCCGATATACATGTTTATGTATGGCTATGCTCAGATGACGAAACTGGGCTTCATTTAGTCAAATATATAGGATTTGGATAAAGCCTGCAAATAGGTTTGAGATTAGGTTTAGTGATAGGTATACTTTTTGGAGCAGGATAAAAGTTCAGAATTTGGTTAGTGCAGGATAATAAGCAAAGAAAATTGTTCATGGAACATGTGTCGAACAAAACGAGGACTGAAAATCACAGCAAAAGTGCATGTAATTATCCTATCAGGTACCCAATTACTACAGCTAGGTCGAGTGTGGCAAATGTAGAATACCGGTAATGACTTGGCAAAGAACATTAATGCTATGTATGGCGGGGATTTGAACCCATACCTCGTGGTTCACTGTCCAGAGACTTATCCACTGGACCACAGACACTTCATGACCATGGTTGATGCCCATTATTTTAGAATGTATATTGTTCATATGATTGAGTTAAATAAATAAAGCTGCATTTGTGTTCGTAGAATTAATAAAACAAAGAAGGAACAATTGCTTTGTTGATTATTTAGACACATTTTTGACATTGCCTAAATGCTATTATATAACACATTCATGATTAAAGGTATGCATTATAGATGAATGTATACATAGAGTGTGTACATATAGCTGTACTTATAAGGAAACTGTGATCTAGATATCTATCCTCCTATAGTGAGTATTGACTCTGAAGTATACTTTGATATTGCTTCCAGACCAATGATGACATAATGCTTACCTTATGAATTGCTCTGAACTTAAAAATATGAAAATTACAAACATATCATTTCAGTACTTCAGTAATCTGTTTATACTGAATTGTATTAATGCATGAGTAGCAACACAACACTCCCCTCCCCAAAAAATTCTTACTTAAACACATCCAGTTAGTCTCCTTCAAAAACAAAAAAACAAAACAATTATGAGGTAAACCTTTAAAAGTGAAGGTTTTTTTGCAGAACATCATAATTTCAACTCATATGAATTATGTATCATACACTGCACACACAAGAACCTGTATATAATAATTTCCTTTGTACGCTAAGACTATTATATATTTTCATAAAAAAAACATTACACACATTGAACAAATATTGAGTGTTGCTAAATTATCATAACTCCTTAAACTCATCTCCACTGCTACATGTGTACATGAATTCATTTAATCATGGCATGGATATAGAGTACAAACACACATACAGACCTGTAAGGTTGACGCCTTTGCATTCAGTGTAGAATAGAACTCTTCCTGGAATTTTTTTCCACTTAGTGCCAGGTTAGTCAGGTTTGGCATGGAACACAAAGCATCTATGAAGTGATGTGAAGAGGCTGATGTTGGACACCTAACATCGTAAAGCGTGACAGCTTTGACCTACATGTATACAAAAGTGATTCATACAGGTACATTACAAGACTGAGTACACTTTTTTTTTTAAAGACTGCAACTGTAACTTGGTGCTTTGATATGTGTATGGCTATGGTCAGGTGACAATTGCTCTGGGCTTTATTTCGTCAAATATATAGGATTTGGTTAAGGGTTGCAAATAGGTTTGAGCCCTGGTTTAGTGATAGGTATACATGTTTACACTTAGGCTCAGCTCAGTCAGGTTTGGCATGGAACACAGAGGCTGATGACAAGATGACATCCATGAACCAGAGAGTTAGGACCTATATGTATGCAAACAGTGATTCATACAAGTACATTACCAGAGTACTTGTTTTTATTGAAGGACTGCAAATATAATTGGGTGCTCAGATATACCTGTATGTGTATGTCTATGCTCTGCTGAGAATCGCTCTGGGCTTTACCTATAGTCATATATAGTACGTCATATTAATAGGATTTGATGAGGCTACAAATAGGTTTGACCTTACGTTTACTGTTAGGGTTAGGTATAGTTGTTGGTGCAGGGTTAAGTTAAGAATTTGGTTAATGCAAGATAGTAAGCACAGAAAATGTATCAATAGAGCATGCATTGAAAAATCAAATGTCTGACTTTAACCATTACAGCCGTGGTGCATTTCATTTCTGCAAATTCATTAAAGTGATTGCATCTATCCAAAACATTTATCCACAAAAAAACATAGCATGCTGAGTGAAACCCAGCAAATCTTAAACACAACTTACATGAAGTTAGGTTCATTTGTCAAATAGACTCTTCGTCTCCATTAATTCACATATACTGTATGCTTATACTTATAGATCTACATGTATGATCCTCTTTATATACATTTTGCTTACTCTCATCATGTGATGTGACTGGTGAGGGACACTCAACACCATGAAGGCAGAGAGTCTAGATCTGTACAAACAGTGAAACACTGGCAGATTTGGGGATGGGGGGGGGGGGGGTGAACTTGGATCATAACACATAGGTTACAATGTAAAACGTGTACTATATAGAGTAAGCCTTTGACTGTATTGACATAAAATTACCTGTTTTAAAGTTGACCAATCATCCACAAGTAATCTGTATGTTTGGGGTTCCTTGTCGCTTTATATTTTCAAGAAGGTTTTTTATGCTTATTTTATATATATTCCAGCTGTACACATATCACTTTTTTAGGAGATTGGTACACTTTAATGTTGAAGCACCGAAAATGTCACGGCATAATGAATATGTGTGCTATATACAAGAATCCACCATCACTATTGTTATATAGGTATTATTAGTATTAGTAGTAATAGTAGTAGGAGTAGTGGCGTAGTAAAAGTATTGGTATTAGTATTATTAATATTAACATTATTATTACAATATGTATTTTCACTCACCTTGGACTTGTTTCCTTCTTTAGCAAGAACTACATAGAAGTCATTGTCTAAGACTGTTCTGAATAGTGAAAATTTCTCGAGAGAGGGATCAGAGCATATAATCTCCGCTAAATCATGTGATATAGTTGGTCCAAGCATGTAATCATTCACTTAAAGATCGATCTTAAAATAAACAAACAAACAATGATGATATGAGAGAATCCGACAGCGTCCATTGTTAAAGTTTAAGACCACCTGAAATGTTGTTTATGCTGCTGTCACTGGGCCTGCATAAATATTGTCTTACCTGGTATTGAATGATTACAGAATGTGTCCATATCAACAGAGTAGTGCTATGATTTATTTTTGCAAAGGAAGATCTTGTATAACATTAAGTCAGTAATGCAGTATGGTAAAATATTGCCATTTTCATAGGGCCCCCAAATTGACCCTCCATCAAAACTGCTGTTTATTATGCCATTTCAAGAAGATGGCTTATTTTCTGACTAATAAAACCTATTAGTACAAGTTAAGTATTACTGTTTATCATATGATTTGATTATATCACAGATTATCAGGTATACAATAAGGTCATGGATGTAAGAGAGAGTTTTTAAAAAGACATACCGGTATTATAGACCCATTCTTCAAAAACGCAAATCTATAGACGCCTGATGGATTTGCAATTAGAGGGGAATTCCACCCTGATATTAAGTTGGTTTTAATACAAGCAGAAAATGCAAAAAATTATTACCGGTAAGGATAATTTGAGCATTAAAATAGGAAAGTTATGAATTAAAAAAAAGTTGTTATCGGTGAAACACAAATTGGCGACACTGTGACGTATCATGCGAGCTCCTCTCATATTTGCTCTGTACAGAAAATTTCATGAACTTTCATTTTCTTACCAGAACAGATTTGTTTCATAAAGGGGTTGTATAAAAACATACTTGCAATAATTACATTTAGGGAAATGCACGATTGACAATTTTGTAAAGGGCAAAAATAGATTTCAACAGTTTTTTAGTACAAGGGAAAAAGAAGGGGAGCTCCCAAGATACGTCACGGAAATACAAATTTGTCTCTGATTAATTGCACCTTCAAAAATTGATAAATTTATCATTTTAAATCGTTTTGTGCTCACACTTTAACTGACCTGTTTATCTCATTTATCTGTTTCTATTCAAACCAACTTAATATTAGGGTGACTTCCCCTTTAAGTAATAATACTTATCAATATATGTTGTAAGATATCAAACTTACCACATCTACATATAGTCCAGTGAATACATAAGCTGCTATGATGTGTGCTGTCCTGAAGTCTATTTTCAGAGGTGACACTCGGCCCCTCAACAAGGCTACGGTATCTAGGTCCTGACTCTCAAAGGATACATCAACCAAGAAATCCATCTCCTCTTGGTTTGTGGTGTTACCCTGAACCATACATTTCATGATATGATTTGCAATGGTTTTGTCCCGTGATACAGTGAAGTACAGGAGATACCTAAAAGCTTCCTTCCTAGGCAGCACTACTTGCTCAATCAGCCTGTTGAATTCATAACGATCTAATTCATACAAGGAAGCAAGATGGACTCCAGCAAAGTACTCCTGAAAGAGTTTGTGTGGAAAGAAGATTTGAGACTGCAGATCAATACTGCTCTTATCATTTATAAATGACTTTCTTTTCTCTAACACCCCTACTCTGCAAGCTGTTTCCAAGGATTCTAAACACTGTTCAAAATCATCTGCTTTGAAAACATCAGTGTTTTCTTGTAGCCCGATGAAAGCAACTTTTGCAACTGGTTTCAAGAGCTTCTCAATTCGAGAGAGATATTCTTTGAATGATTGGCTGCCTAAATCTGTGATCATTTTCTGAGCATAATGCACCCTCAGGAATTTAAACCTTTCATCAAATATTTGTGAAAATGTTCGAAATGACTTTAACTTTTCTTGTTTTTCGTCACCAAGTTCTCTCCACATAAGACAGAGCATAGCTATGTAGATAGGATGTGGGGCCATATACTCAGATATGATGTCACTTTCTTTGGTTAACTGGATAAGCTGTTCTGCTTTGGCCACATCGTCTTCAAAGTACTTGTGAATGTAAACCTCCACATTCTCCTTGCTAAAACCTTCCACATACAGGAAAGTGTAGAGTTTCCTTAGACTCTTATCCCATGTAAACTCTGTGACCTTCCTTGGGCGACTGGTCACCAACACCGGGCAAGCGTCAAGTTCATCTGAACGAAGAATGTCTATAAGTGCAATGTCACCTCTTTCTGAAGAACTTCCTCTTGCCTTGGTTTGATCTGTGGACTTTGGCTGGAGACATTCTGACTTTGAACCAACTTTCCTTTGCTGTACAACCTTGCCATCAAACTCATCTAATCCATCAAAAGCAATGAATACATCTTTTGCATTTGAACGGATGTACTCAGTGATCTGGCAGGCTGTTGCTGGGTTGTCCTTTGAAAGATACGACTTGGCAATCTCACCGATCGTGTATTGCTTGGCTTCACAAAGAGGGACAACAAGTACCCACACAAACTTTGGGAGAACAGGACTATCATTTATCCAGTCCCAGGCAATCTTAGAACAGAATGTTGTCTTTCCAGCTCCAGCCTCTCCCTGAATCATGATCCGCTTGGGGAACTCTCCATTGACTTTGAGGTCAAAGAGATCCCTGTACTCAAGTGGTCGCTTGTGTTCTCTATATTTCTCTTTTAGGAGAAGGTTCGTGTACATGTCGTTGAATGGCACAATGGAATCGGGGTTGAGGGCATCAGCTCTGATCATACAGAGAGTTGTCTGGTATTTGAATTTGAAATCATCTGCACATCTCTTGATCTGGTCAGGAGAAAGTGGTTGAGTCTGTGATCCTGATATTGCAACAGAAGTACCTTAAAATCAAATAGCATTAGTGTGAGGATTTATGATTTAGATCAACAGAAATTTTCTGAATATCAAAATGTTTCATTAATATTTTAAGGATATTCAATACACACACCTGATCATATGAACAATTTGTGATGCATTTATTTCTTTACAATTTTACATTTTCAATTTGTATTATTTCTGCTGTTAGAGGGTGTGTCAGGAGCAGCTATAGTACATGGCCTATGGTGGCTTATAATACAGACTCCTTTTTACGACTGACCAGGGGGTTTTTCACTAAAGCCCTAAAATCGATCTAAAATCGATTTGATCGATTTTAAGGGCCTAAAATTGATTTCAATTTTAGCAGCAGTTTCACTAAATAAATAAAATCGATTTTGGCCTTAAAATCGATTTTAAGTTAGTGTGTGATCCATATCAATTTTAAATCAATTTTATTCTTATTTATTGCATTATTGATATGCTATGTTCAGCATTCATTGGTTTCAAAGGCGCAAGTGTCGGCTAGCTTCAATTTGAACATACATCTGAAAATGAAGAATTATGTTCTTGGGGGAACAAATCTTTGTTCATAACCAATTTTTTTTTTAAATCA